TGTAGATGTACTATTGACATGATGCATCAGTTTATGACTTATGCACAGTTAGTACCGACACGCCTGTAGATGTACTATTGACATGATGCATCAGTTTATGACTTATGCACAGTTAGTACCGACACGCCTGTAGATGTACTATTGACATGATGCATCACGAAAAGACTTTTATCCTGTTTTGTTTTGATTTTTTAAATTAATTTTCGTTTTGTTTTTCTGGGGTAAAATTTATATAGACGTTAATATATTGTATGCTTTTTTTATTCAGGTGCCTTAAAAATGGTTTTTGAGTGAATATATACTATGTCAAAATTCAGGAAAAATACCACCATCGCTTTTCTACCAGCAACGTTTCTTGAACATCCATTTCTAATGCGAAGTTCTTATAAGATTGGTTAGGGTTTATAAGAAACACAATTTGTAAAACACTTATCCCATCCAAACCGCTCCCACCCCACCTTTGTTTCTAGTTACGCTTTTTGTTGTGTGTTTACATGTTACACTTGGTTTGGTCTGTATGCTGAAGAAATCAACATGTCGACACGTTGGTTCATGTGTTGAACACTTTTGAATATGCTTTCCCCTTACTTGTCTTATACATTCTCTTCTGAACCTATCTGATTTAACTAGAATTAATTTACATACTGAGCAATGATATAAATAAGCAACATGTATTATCGTTATTCTAGTAGAAAATCAATGACGGTTTCACGATTTTTTAGACGGCAACACCCGAAAGAAGTTACATAATTGGAAAATAGGTTTACGGGTTCATTCAACAACAAAAAAATGATTAACTAAATAACTAAGCAAGCTATTTGAAAAGCTTCATTTTTGTTTAGAATTTAGTGCTTACAAAGTTGCTACATTAATATCTTGTTCCTAATGTGAACTTTTATTTATAAAATGTTCGTTAATAAATAGAACAATAAAAATCAGACATAATTGCTAAATCAAATTTCAAGCATTGACGTTGGAATACAACTTTTAAAAAATTGGAATATTTTTTAGTTTTAAATGTACCATTCAAATATTCTTGTTTATTTCATGTTTATAATTTCAGTTTTCTCTAACATCTAAATGTATAAATTGTTTCATATCGTGTTGCATACGTTTTATTATTTTAAATTGTCTTGAAAACAAGTTTAAATATTGAAGAATACGTGATCTTAAAAAATATTTATCCATCACATTTGATATTGATTAATTGAAGTTTCAGGATTCGTTGAGTACATATATTTTGACAAAGAAGGGACAACACAATTTCAACATTGAATGTTGCAATTTTTTATGACGCCTTGAAAATTGCATTCTTTATGGGACCGAATATTGTTCTTTTATGGCCCCGGCGAGAATTTCACAGGCATGCTGTATCTGCTTGGCATCGCCGTAAAATAGACTTTCTACGTGGTATATGGTGTGCTCCCCGCCACTCCAAGCGTTAGCATTGGGCACTCGGCTAGTAATTGCACACCTGTCTCCGGCGATTGTCCGCTCTGATTGAAGCTGGTGTCCCCACGAGGATGTTCAAGTAGCAGTGAGAAGAACAATGGTCTGTTTTTATGAGGCTCTGATGGAAGCTGGTGTCCCCAAGTGGATGTTCAAGTAGCAGTGAGAAGAACAACGGTCTGTTTTAATGAGGCTCTGATGGAAGCTGGTGTCCCCAAGCGGATGTTCAAGTAGCAGTGAGAAGAACAACGGTCTGTTCTTATGAGGCTCTGATGGAAGCTGGTGTCCCCAAGCGGATGTTCAAGTAGCAGTGAGAAGAACAACGGTCTGTTCTTATGAGGCTCTGATGGAAGCTGGTGTCCCCAAGCGGATGTTCAAGTAGCAGTGAGAAGAACAACGGTCTGTTCTTATGAGGCTCTGGTGCTCGAGTTTAAATCGCCACCATTGATCTCCTTTTCTGTTGGATTGTGACATTGTCTTGTAAAGAGTACGGGCTGCCTCGACGTTTTCCTAATCATTGGAACATTCCAGAATGTGTCTTTGAACCAGGCCTTGACACCCAGTTGGGTATTTGGCCAATTGTGTTGTGCTTGGGCAGAGACTTGCCCTGCTAGACAGTCAGGTCTATAATTTGAAGCCAATTTCAAATCAGAGCATATATATGAAGTACTTTCTATTTCGAAATGTAGAATTTTATTGTGAACCTTAAGCATTTTGTAAAGTTTTTGAATACAGGGATAGCGTCATTGATTAAATGTCAAGAAAGAATGCAAACATGTCTCATTTAAAAGTGCAGATGACGACATTTCATTTACCTGATTAGAAACGATAAAATCAAAGCAAAATACAAAAAGTAAATAAAGAGAAAAACGATTTTTTTTTTCCGAATGGACTTATTTTTAAACGAGTTTTACTTGTTTGGCGTCAGTCGTGAGAAGACGTAGCATTATTCAATTAATTGTACAGTTAAATGGTATAAAAATAAAAAAAAATTAAATATACAGAAAAATAATGTTAACGTCACCAAAGAACTTAAAAAAGTTTAATTCCTTAAGAAATACAAATACTGATTTCAACCCATACTAAGTAAGGGTTACACTATTGCAATAGTATACCGAGTCGTCGATGTATTTGAGGTCAAGCAAAAAGACTCCATTTCAGGTAGTTGTGCTGCCGGCCTATATGTCTGCATCAAATCAGTTACCTTTAGACAATAAATTCTGATCGATTTCTTTATAACAAACGGAGCGTATTCCAACGTAACTGGATTCCAATAAAAGGAAGAGTGGGTAAAGAATAGAATAGCACATTCAAACGTCGACCTCAACTGGATCCCAATAAAAGGAAGAATGGGTAAAGAATAGAATAGCACATTCAAACGTCGACCTCAACTGGATCCCAATAAAAGGAAGAGTGGGTAAAGAATAGAATAGCACATTCAAACGTCGACCTCAACTGGATTCCAATAAAAGGAAGAGTGGGTAAAGAATAGAATAGCACACTCAAACGTCGACCTCAACTGGATTCCAATAAAAGGAAGATTGGGTAAAGAATAGAATAGCACACTCAAACGTCGACCTCAATATAGAAAACAAATGGTGGGGGAAGTGATGATGGCCTATGACTCTAAAATGAGGCTTGCACACATTCATACACATATCACAGATATATGTTATGTTTGACAAACTCCTTACCCCTTTTAACCTTATACATAATTGTTCTTAACTTTCCACATACTATCATACATTTCTAGAGACCAACTAATCCCCAACTCCTATAAAATTGAATACATTTACAAAACTAGCCAATTTCAAGGCTTTGGCTAGATTTTTTAAAGATTATGTACTGATATTTTAAGAAAAAACACACTATATTTTGGCATCAATAACCTATGTTAAATTTATCAATTTGAAAAGCAGAAAATGTTTTTAAAAATAATTATAATAATAAAATGAACCACTTGTAAAATAAGTTTAATCTCTACCCAACCACTCATCTAGCACAACATAACGAAATGATAAACCACACACATAAAGTTTAATCTCTACCCAACCACCCATCTAGCACAACATAACGAAATGATAAACCACACAAATAAAGTTTAATCTCTACCCAACCACCCATCTAGCACAACGTAACGAAATGATAAACCACACAAATAAAGTTTAATCTCTACCCAACCACCCATCTAGCACAACATTACGAAATGATAAACCACACAAATAAAGTTTAATCTCTACCCAACCACCCATCCAGCACAACATAACGAAATGATAATCCACACAAATAAAGTTTAATCTCTACCCAACCACTCATCTAGCACAACATAACGAAATGATAAACCACACAAATAAAGTTTAATCTCTACCCAACCACTCATCTAGCACAACATAACGAAATGATAAACCACACAAATAAAGTTTAATCTCTACCCAACCACTCATCTAGCACAACATAACGAAATGATAAACCACACCACCCCCCGCTCTGCTTTATATTATATGTTCACTGTCCCCAGTAATAGGTTCAAATTGCTTTTAAGAAATCATTTTAAGCTTGAACTATTTGTTCTCTTTAAGAATGTATTTTCCTATGCCGACATTCAAACAAACTGCCATCTGCCCCTTGCGCTCCAATACCAACCAATACAAAGTAGGATTCTTTAAAGAGACCTCTTCACTGAAACCAAACAATTGCACACAAAGTAATCAAAGGATAACCGTCATTGTATTCTAGTACTGGGCCAATATTTACTAACTCCCTGGTTTAATGATATTCGTTTCGAGCTTTGACGTTTATGACGATGCAGATAACCAGATGTTCAGTATAGAACACACCCCAAAAATGGATTATACGACATTATGTATTTCACCGACTTACGGGTAAGCTGAGTTTGCTAAACATCTTGTAAATATCAAAACTTTTCGCCATAACTCAATATCTGATATTTGTATGAAAATAATTTTTTATTTAAGTTATTCATTCTCTATTGTCTAGTATACCTGACATATTTATAAGTAAGTATTCCTTTGTAATTACGCTGGGTGGCCGAGTAGTCTAAACTGAGTCAAGCCCCAATTTTTTTTGTAATATCAATTATAGTTATAATTGAGCAATATGCCATGCGAACACAGACAAGCAAAAATAAAACCAATACTCCAATGGATGTGACTCGTTTACCTTATACGGCTCACTTCTAGAAGAAGACACACTCTGAAAGTAACCACAGAGATGGAGTCCTGTATGCGGTATTCAATTGACACAATGAACTGCTATGACGTCAAAGACAGAAAAGGCACAACAAGAGACAAGAAACACTGCTGGACATCAGTTCTATCGTCGTCTATTTCTCTTCGTCTTGCCAATGGAAACAAGAAATTTAGCAAAGACGAAAGAAGGAGGCTGATGAATTGAGCAAGCTTTAAACAATTTAAACAAACTGCAAATGGATTCAAGGCTGTTACTCAAGCCTTGCTGATCGTTACATGTGAAGGACGAACAATAATATCTGAAGTTGTGTCTTTCTTAAACATACATTGGGGTCTATTTCAGAAACACTTAAACATGAAACTTTCCACATTTGCAAAGCTATTGGCTCTGCTTGTGTTGACTACCAGTGTTTGCTGCCAAGATGACCGCGACCATGACACAAGAGACGAATTGGACAAACAAGTAGAGAAAACTGTGAAAAATGCTGCGAAGACAGTCTGTCAAGTACGTCGAGTTGTTAGTTTAAGTTAAAAAAAAATTATTAGGCCATCCATTTGCAATTTTCTGGTTAAAGTTAGCATATTAAGTTGGAGCTGGATTAAGCTTAAAGCTGTTATGTAATTTGTCATACCTTAAAATAAAATTATAATATAATTTAAATAAAATTAAAAGAGTTACTTGTTAAGTCGACACAGAAATCATGTTTTGCTCTGACATCTTGTTGGGGAAATATGGACATAAAAATTACATGACGAATATATGTCTACAAAGAAGTACTAAGGACGGGAAAGAGTTTAATAATTCTAAATATCAAACGACGTGCTAAGAAATGGTTGATGGACTACGATCCAATAAAGAGTTGAAAAGGAAATGAAGAAGAACGTGGACATTATTTAAGATTTCGTTATTTTTAGATGGTCATTCAATTAGCTTTTATTTTCTCTCTCATGCCCACTAGCATTGTTATTATGTTCATTGCAGGAATTTTGTCCTGAAGAAACTGACTTATCATTGTTATTATGTTCATTGTAGGAATTTTCTCCTGAAGAAACTGACCAGCCTGATCCTCAACTCACAAAACGGGGATTTTTTAAGAAAGTTTGGAAAAGTGTTAAAAATGCGGCTGTTCTGTACGCTGTTGGTAAGATTGTTGTAGGCGCTCTTGGGAAGAGAGACCAAAAACCATGGACAAATGTAAGAATTTAAATAAAACACAAAAATCAATTTATATTTGAAGGCAAATAAAAAATAAATTAACATTTTATTTTAAAAGTAAAAGGACAATAAACTATTTTTGTTTAAATCTGAGAGGCTCTAAAAATCAAACTTGTCTTTACTCTTTCCAAGCTGAACAGTACAGACCCAGAACGGAGGCGCCCCTCGATCAATCGATGGTGGAAAGACAGGGAAGAAATTGTCAGAACAGTGAGAAAACTGCAAAATGATGGGTCTCAAACAGATATCTGTGAACCAGAGAGTCAGAAGAGGATTGAGAAACTGGAGCGGGCTATTGAAATCCTGGGGAAGACAATGCACGTACTGCAGAAGTTGAAGAAATGCAATTAGCCTAGGAAAAGTTCGTGACCTCAAAACAAAACCAGGCTTCTGAGCATCCAGCCTTGATTCTTAACAAACAGATTTGAGAACATTTTATTTTTTCTTTGTGACGGAAATTAAAGATTGTAATTTTATAAATCAATTGTTATATGCAGATGTGTAGCGTTTTGTTTTGTTTAAATGACGCTAATATCAAGAAAATTGAAGAGGATAGATTGACAGTCACAGGCTTTGCTGTCGCCAATGTTTTGCGGGCTCCATCTAGCTTTAAATTATCAAGTTTGTTTTCAAAAGTGCATTTCTGATTTGTTTTGTATGATATGTTTGTAGAATTCAATCAAGAACCATCAATCCACGTAGAAGATTTCGCCACTAATAAACAAATGGATAAATCCTCCAACCCACAATTGTTCTAATAAACCATAGCTCAAATACCATTGCGCTTCCTAGGTTTGCATTCTTAAACCCCAGTCCCCAGCATGGATATAATGACAACTAAGGAGTCTATCAAAACTACTTCGATAGAAATCTAGAATTATAGTTTTTAAAACCCTCTTATCAACTATGCCAGTCCATAATTACCTTGTTCTTTAAACGTTGACGTTAGAGAAAATTCAATTTCAAATTAACATTCAATACGAGCGTGTGAAAGACAATGACTTGTAGAATCAATTGAACTTGCCAATGCCATCTCATCAACACATCATCACACAATGACTTGTAGAATCAATTGAACTTGTCAATGCCATCTCATCAACACATCATCACAAACGCCTGAATATTTCATTTTCAATTATTTCATAAAGTAGGGACTATTGTAGAAACTGCTTTAAGTTTTGACTTTTTAGAGATAATTATGTTAAGTGGCTCGGTCTATATATAGAATGATTTAGTTGATCTGAAGTTGCCGGTAATGGATGTGAGGTCTAGGTTGCGGCAATACCCGAACAACTCCTTTTTTTTTTTTTGGGGGGGGGGGGGAATTCTCGAACTTCTTCTTTTTTTTTTTTTGGGGGGGGGGGGGTGACAACGCTAGGCCACCCCCCCTCCCCCGAGAGGAACCAAGATCGTTTTGACCCATAGAGAGTGGACCGCGAACACTTTAAAAGCATCGTTTTCAGTCGACCGGACGTACCCTAGGCCAAAGGAAATGTTTTCGGCGTGCTTCCACGTGGTCTGGCAGCTGGGAGACCCGGATTCTGGCCAGTTTGGAGGTGTGCTGGGGGAAGGGTATTGAGAGGTAGAGCTCGACGACCCACCGACGCCATCTCCAGTTTAACGTTATTATTTGATCTTATAAAAGGATGTTCATTAAAAAAATATATATATACCTGAATTAACCATTTAAGTAGAGTGGTCGAATAATTTTTATATATTTGACTGTAAGTTATTCTATTTCAAATACAAAATTTTGAAGTATTTTTGTACTCAATAAAATTGAGACACGTTTACCCTAACAGTTGGCTATAGTTTATATGTAAATTGAGGATCCTTAAACTCTACAGCTATAACAACTGCTGTCGAAATTAAATCATGTATTTTAAAACAGTGAAATTTGGGCTCCTAACACAAAAGATCAATATTTTAAAATTTATAATGACATATATGTCTTATGCCTTTTGGTATCTTTATGGCACTACAGCCCGTGTAAGACTATGGGCTGCGTCATCACTTCCTTCCACTCAGACAAATCCAAGGTTTTCCTTTTCTATCCTTAGCTCCCTTGCCGATGTACATCTTTTTCTACACCATCCATCCATCTAAGCCTAGTATTATTCGGAATATAATATTCAAATCACTTTGAATTCCATTAGAAAATATTTTTTATTTCCCTAGGTTTCTCAGATCAAATAGAAAATAGTCCTGTGAACCATAAAACTATAAAATCAAAAAAATAATTAATTGTTTTGTTTTATTTTTCTTGTTTTTGTTGTTGTTGCTTGCATCAGTCCGTCACACTGTGACCATGGTGTAGACTTTGTAGGGCAAAATCCACAAGGCTAGGTATTATTCCTTTTAGAAATATAAGCTGATTCTCTTGAAGACATTATTTAACGTTAAAACAGAAATGTAAACATCACTTTAGAATTGTTAGGAAATTAGAGAATCTGACGTGTCAAAAAAGTGTTTTAATATTTATATTTTTTTTACATGAGCTAAAATGGTGATTTAAAATTATATTGTGAAACGAAACATGATATGGATATTTTTATAATAGGAAGAACACAGGAAATACTGTCTAAATCATTCATTTCATGGAATAGCCTTAATACTTGTTTTTATATTTATTGCTCAAAAAGTCAACATATTTCATTTCTTATTGTACTACAAAATGCCTAGCCAGTTTGGCCTTGACCTTTAAAATTAAAAGTAGATTTTTGTAGAAAACTAAGAATATATTTGTTATATTACTTTCTTTATATAGCATGTAAATGGATGAAAAAATATAAGTTTTCCAAAACTAAAAATTAGTAAAGGCAGATCTAATTGGATTTAAACAACAATTCTGATGTGGACAATTAAAGCAATGTGCATCATGATTGTTCGAGCTCAATCAATCAATGTTTAGTATATAAGTCTATGTTAGATATTGTTAAATAAACTTAGGGGTCTTGTGCGAAACAAACTGGAAAACATGTGTTACATTTACATATACGTGATTTAACACATGAATGCAACACATTTAACAACACATGTTAAATAACTGTAAAAACATTTCAATGATTTCTTCATTTTAAAGAAAAATTCCAAAGAGAAGAAAAACATTTTACATTTTCTTAAAAGCGTATATTTTCTGTTAAAGTTTCCGGTCATTCATTAGGTTGAGCCTTGCTAGCCTCTGATAGAGAGGAAATGAGAAATAGAGATAGAGAGATAGAGAGATAGAGAGATAGAGAGATAGAGAGATAGAGATATAGAGAGATAGAGAGATAGAGAGATAGAGAGATAGAGAGATAGAGAGATAGAGAGATAGAGAGATAGAGAGATAGAGAGATAGAGAGAAAGAGAGATAGAGAGATAGAGAGATAGAGAGATAGAGAGATAGAGAGATAGAGAGATAGAGAGATAGAGAGATAGAGAGATAGAGAGATAGAGAGATAGAGAGATAGAGAGATAGAGAGATAGAGAGATAGAGATATAGAGATATAGAGAGATAGAGAGAGATATAGAAGAGTTTTAGTTTTATTTATACTTTTTTAAACTCTCTTTAACTCGTAATTAATATGTCATAAATGTCTAATACATATGTATTTTACTCATGACAGTGTGATAATTGTATGAATTAACAAATACAACGACCAACCAAATTGTACACAACGTATTTTATTTCAACAACAATTTCAGGAAAGAAAATATTACACACCAAAGTAATGTACAATTAAAAAAAAAAAAAGAATTAATTTCATTAACTGAGATTATATCTTTTTTTGGTGGTGAAATTAGTCTCATGAAATGTGACCATACTCGGCATGCTCAGTTGAAAACGATATCAGTAGGTAGCCATAAAGAAAAGTATATCAGTAGGTAGCCATAAATAAAACTATATCAGTAGGTAGTCATAAAGAAAACTATATCTGTAGGTAGCCTTAAAGAAAACTATATCAGTAGGTAGCCATAAAGAAAACTATATCAGTAGGTAGCCATAAAGAAAAGTATATCAGTAAGTAGCCATAGAGAAAACTATATCAGTAGGTAGCCATAAAGAAAACTATATCAGTAGGTAGCCATAAAGAAAACTATATCAGTAGGTAGCCATAAAGAAAAATATATCAGTAAGTAGCCATAGAGAAAACTATATCAGTAGGTAGCCATAAAGAAAACTATATCAGTAGGTAGCCATAGAGAAAACTATATCAGTAGGTAGCAATAAAGAAAAGTATATCACTAGGTAGCCATAAAGAAAAGTATATCAGTAGGTAGCCATAAAGAAAACTATATCAGTAGGTAGCCATAAAGAAAAGTATATCAGTAGGTAGCCATAAAGAAAAGTATATCAGTAGGTAGCCATAAAGAAAACTATATCAGTAGGTAGCCATAAAGAAAAGTATATCAGTAGGTAGCCATAAAAACTATATCAGTAGGTAGCCATAAAGAAAACTATATGAGTAAGTAGCCATAAAGAAAAGTATATCAGTAGGTAGCCATAAAGAAAACTATATCTGTAGGTAGCCATAAAAATACTATATGAGTAAATAGCCATAAAGAAAACTATATCAGTAGGTAGCCATAAAGATCATAAATAGAGAAAAATTACAATTTGATGTTAAAATAAATGTCAAATTGAATATTCTCTACACAAGACTTATCCCATATCAAACAAACATATTTAGTTGACAAAGAGATATGTTTACCTACTACTATAGTTTTTAAATAGACATGTCCGTTATGGCTAAAAGTTAATAAAGTGATTGATACGAAAGGTCCTGTATAAGAACCTACTTTAATAGTTCTCACATGTTCAATGTTGCTACCTACTTATGTAGGTCTCAACTAGACATGTTTAATGTTGCTACTTACTTATAAAGTTCTCAACTAGACATGTTTAATGTTGCTACCTACTTATATAGTTATCAACTAGACATGTTCCATGTTGCTACCTACTGATATAGTTCTCAACTAGACATGTTCCATGTTGCTACTTATTGATATAGTTATCAACTAGACATGTTCCATGTTGCTACCTACTGATATAGTTAATAATAATAATAATAATAAGTGGTCTTATATAGCGCGGTACCCCGGCCTAGGGCTGGGCTCACCGCGCTGTACATATATAGCAAAGAGGCATAATCATAATATTAAAATAAAATACATAAATGAAATAAAAACAACATATAAGCAAAACAACACCATAGGTCTATTCATCCACCCACACCAGACATTTTTACA